TAAGAGGAGCGATTTGTATTTAAGTTGGCAATTCTGTAGCCTTCTGATTGGTCAGATTACAGTCAGTTTCACACATTACTTTTTAGCATGAACATCTGGAGTGCGTTTAGAAACCCCGCACGGCGCGTCTGACCACATGCATTAGAATAGGGCCCAGACGAGCCGTGCGGGGTTTCTAAACGCACTCCAGCTAATAATTGATATTGTTGACAGTTCTGACATTTTATATTTTGATATCTCATCCATTACTTAGTTTTTTACTTTATTTCGTAAATAATAGTTCTTCAGTAAGCAATTGTATTGAAAATCTACAATTATGGATCCTTCTACACTGAGTACTATTAAAGGTAGCAATTCCTGAAAAGCCTTACAAGAAAGGGAAGACACCTTATTATTTTACATGCTGATTCTGAAGGTTTTGTAGAAAATGCATTATTGGTTTTTGAAGGTAAAAAGATGGGAGATTACCATGAAGAGATGATTCCGAAGTATTTTAGAAAAAATAATTTTATTACTGATTTTTTAAAACTAAAAATTGATGAATTTCTAACCAAAATATTAAAATGTAACTAAATATTTAAGCAAATTTTATTTATTAGAATATAATAAAACTATTTACAAAATTGTTATAACATTTAAAACACCATCTACTACTTTAGGGATAATCTTAATTTGGCACAATGAGTTAACATTACTTTCACAAAAAATATTTTAAAAATACTGAAAATTAATACATAGGTATGTATGAATAGTTCACTTTAAAAAATATATGTTGACATGTAGTGTTATGAAAATGTTGGTTCCAGTTTTCAAAACAAATTCTGACTCATAGGCCTGTAAACTTTTGAATGCCTTTATTTGCCCTCTAGCGCATTAACCATGGGTTAACACTAAATAAGCCATATTATCCACATTACTCATAGAAGAGATACCAGTTACTGTGTGATCCACTTGTCATTCACTGATTAACTTTTACTTTTTATACCTATAACAAATTATCCTTAAAAATGTAAACAGATCTTTATATTTTATACTAACCTGGCTACATCTGGATATTCCATTAACAATTTTCTTAAATATTTAATATCCATTTGAAAAAGATCATAGTTATTCTCAAAAAGTCGATTTCAAAAGTAAGAAAAAAGTATTTCTGACATCAATCAACAACCATATTGACTTTAATTTGACAGTGACATTTCGTTTTAGACACACATTTCACATCACAATAATGTGAAATTTGCGACCGTTGTCTGGGACCAATTAAAAAATTATTTCTATGACATTTATTCGTTTCTTAACCGCTCATTGGCCGTTCGCCGACTAAGGCCGATAAAGATAATTATTTCATAAATTTTGAACACGACTATATTTCAAAACTCGCTCTTAGTAACAAATCTAGTTACTTTTCCCCGTGTAAATGCGTCTTTTCAATTCGCTCCTCCTAGTTTAAAAACAGAGTATAGTAACAGTAGAAAAACGACCCCCTATAAAGTGCCCCCTAGATCAGCCAAACTCAACCTGCGGTACGCGGGCCGCATGCGGCCCTCCAAGCTTTTTTGGGCAGCCCCAAAAACTATTATTAGGAAGGTGCTTTTTAAAACTATTGCTTTTTGTTTTTAAAATTTTGAGCGAAATGCGCGAAAACAATAACATTAAACGATAAATAAATATCATGCTATCATGCTAATATTTTTATTGTTTTGCATTTGTTTTGTGTTTTATGTATTAGAGATTCCAACTAATTTTAAAAAGTTGACCTACAGTCCTTTTTTGAAACAAATTATTCTTGCGACTCTTCAAAGCTTATTAAAACAACTAAAACAATATGAGGACTTTTTTAGAACATGAGGGCCTTTTTTTTAGAAAATATTTAAACCGGATCCCTATCGTCACCCATTGTCCTTTATCCTTTATTTACATTTCAAAAAACTGGCAACTCTAGTTATCACCCAAAAATATGTCGGCCCGTGTAGCATAACAAACAGATGTATATGGCCCGAAAGAAAAAAAGGTTGAGTACAGTTGCCCTAGATGCTCCGCATACTGGATCGAAACCTGATTGATGCCACCACTGATGTCTTCGCTGCCTCAAGTCAAAATAATTTGATTTGTATGCCATTCCTTCTAAAAGGCTTTGAAGGGTGACTTTTACTTCCGTCATTTAGACAGGGCTTTGCTGAAGACATTCCCCTGTTGCGTCGTCTGTTTTGTGTATCTTGTGTGTGCGCAATCTGTTGAGTCTGCCACCTGTGAAAGCTATTCTGGTCTCAGTTGGCGACTAGAAGAATCTTCAACCAGGCATTTAGTCGTATGTTACAGTACTTGTTTGCTTCTTATGTATTAGGAACCCTCGTGAATTCCAAATGTTTAAATATGACGTCGTTCCTGGTGTATCTGTAGGCGTTTGCAGCCCATCTTAGGTTGATGTTCTGTTGTGTCTATATTTTCTTCATGTTACTCTTGCAGATGTATCCCCAGGCATACATCAATATTGGTAGTATTACTGATTGGTTAAGTCTTAAACTTGGTCTTCAGCAGTATTCTTCTCCTTCCTGTCAGGCAATTCATTCTTGACCTGCTCGTTTTGTCTTCTTTATCACCATGTCCACGTGATTGATGATTGTTAATTTTTGGTCCAGCATTACTCAAAAAACTAATTCTATGTCTTGTCAGACGGGTCTCAACACATTACTCGATGGCAGTTATTATTTTGTAAATACATAAGTCCTCTGAGCAAAGATACTAAAATGATAAATAATAATAAGTAATGTTAACCCTAAGGCAGTGTTAAGCCTTTAGGTGTTTGTAAATAAAGTGTAGTGTAAATATGTCAAATTTAAAAGTTGTCGTGCAACATTTTGCACAATAAATTATTTTTTACGAAGTTGCTGGAATTTCATTATCTGTTTGAAAATAATTACAGCTAGCATCGAAAGGAGACAGTCCACTTGGTAAGCGAGCATTAGGGCCGTATTCATAATTTGTATTGGGTTCAACTTTTGGTAAACTACAAATCCGACAGTGACGTTGTTAAATAATGAATTACCATTAAGTTATTGAGTCACCATCGGACAGTCTGAAAATTGGACATATTATGTTGCGTGTTTCTATTTCAGACATTTCTAGTATTGTTTAATACGTGGAAGCATTGCTTATTTGGAAATAATGGGCTTTGGACCTAGAAGCTTCGGACAGGAGTAGCGTACGGTAGGGGCCTTGATTTGAATTTTGAAAGTGACTCGTACTGGATACTGAATAATACTGAATGGAACTGAACGATGTGATTTATGATATCTGGACTTTGTGTTACTTTGGTACTATATATAAGAGGACCACATTTTTTGAGGAGTTGGATACCCTTCTTCGATTATGTTTTAGTTTTTTGTTATGAACGTTATTCAAAATGGAAAATAAATTTCACGTTTTATTTACAGGGGTTTTCTTTATTCCTGTTTTAGAAGGCTAAAAAGTTTGAGAACCGCTGAAGTAGAATAACTAAAATATCGATTTCTTAATAATACCGCTAAAAATAAAAGTACCTGCATGGTGCTACATATACAATAAACGGTACAAAGCCGATAGACAGAGATAATGATTTATAATAGAAACAAAGTAGTGCAGTAATAATAAATAATTATTAGTTAGTCAGTATGCAGCTCATTGTCGGGTAATGAGAACCGCTGGCTGGTGCTGGTAAGAAATTAATGTTATTATCTAAGTATGAAGTTTACTTTTTTTTTATTTTAATTGTAAGTCGGTTTTCGAAGTGCAGTAGTGCATAGAGGAATAAAGAGTGTGATTAAAACCGTTGAACCTATTGAGAATGTTTATGCACAACAAGGAATAGTTTCGATATTAGTTGGTGTTCATTTCTTTACTCATTTGAAGATTTTCTTCCAAAAAATGGCACATGTTTACATTAATATTTGAGTAAGAAGTGTTACCGTAGATGCCATTATAAGGATGTAATTTAACTAAAATAAAAATAATTTGCTTAAAAAACATAAAAAAAAATTCAAATTGTTAATGTGCTTTAGAGGCTACATTTTTTTCTATCTCTTGGTCTCCTTCTTTATCTTCAATATTCCGAGTTGAATAATCTGATTCTGCATATTTCACATCTTCATCATCTTCATTGGACTCCTCTAATTCCAGTTTCTTCAGATTTTTATTTTCTTGTAATTTATTTTTACTTTATTTTTTTCTTCCCTTTATTTGTACCTTTTCTAGTATCTTTTTTTCTATTGTATCCCTGTCATGGTTCTGAAGTTACAACTAAAGATATATTTTTTTCCTCTTTTTAACTTTTGTTTTGGGCCAAAATAAGGCTCTTTTAAATGGCGATGGTATTATTGACTTCTCTGAAGTTTTGCTAGCTGTGATATTGATGTTTATTACTAAGAGAAGTTTGTATTTTCTTCTCTAGAACTTATTTTTGTGATGTTGAATGAACTACAATATCAGCCATTATATTGACAGATGCTTCGTAAGTTATGGAGTTGCTTTTCTGGAGTTACTAATATATTTGAAATATTAGAAGCATTATCAATCATTAATATTTAACTGTCATCTCTTTTTCTTTCATATTCTTCCTCCTCGCTATTACCTTGAATTGTAGATTTACACTTCAAATATATTTTTTGCCAACAAATACTCTATTTTCTATCTTTGTGTTTTTTAAATTCATCCAGTAACATGTTCATCCCAGTAACATGTTCATCCCAGTAACAATCAATCAATTACCAGCTCACGAGCAATGAAAACTGTTCACTTTTAATAATTGAGGTTCGAGAAATTCCAGCGAAGAGGAATCGGGTCATCTAGTTTTTAGATATATTAAACAATTTTTTCCGTATTTTTCAGCCCCACAAATCGAGGCGTGTACGGAAATACGCTTTATAACTTATATTCATTACCGCCTGATTGTAGTTAAAAAACTCAATACTTAAATTAGTTTGATAAAAAATACATTTTTTTAAAAACATTTTTCTTTTCTTTAGTTGGTATGATCCAAGTCGAATCGAACAGCATGGGTTCTCCGATATCCGACTTCACCGATGATAACTTCGAAGAAGAATTGGCGGAGGCGTGCGAAGAGAATTTAGACAGTTTGATGTTCTGCTCGACGTCCTATCCGGAGGTCGGCGATACGGCGCCCGAAAAATTTTCTGAAATTTCCCGATACGGTATAGTCGATGTGAAGGGCGACGATTCGGACGGAAGGAAGATCATCGTCGTGTATGCTTGTAAATTGCCTCAGATTAAGGAAATCGATCATACTTTATTATTGAAGTAGGTGCATTTAGATTTTTATATCATTCCACAATATTATATTTTGATTAATAAAATATTTTTTACACATTAAGCTACGGTTTGTTAAAACAGTGTACGACGATCGACGTATGCGTACGGCAGAATCCATCACGTTCGGCTCTCGTCAGTTTTAGTTTTTAGTAGAAGTCTCCGAGCAATTACTACTATAGTCTTCTCCCCTTCCCCGCGCTAAATTTTATGATCGACATTACTCCCCCGTACTCTCCTGTAATAGGCTTATTCAGTCAGCGTTACCAAGTCAATTTTTGGTTTGTACTTACGAAAAATATAATTATAGCGTTGTAAGGGTTGTAAATATATATTTAAGATTTATTATCATTAATAATATGCTCAAAACATGCTTTGGAAAAATCCGACATAGTCGAACCGGCTTTTTTTAGACCATGAACTACATCATTTTGATTAATTTCTTATTATAGAAACTACTAAATAATAATATTAGAACATCCATAAAGCTATAAACCATTCCAAATTTTTTGCAAACAGTTTATTTTCTTAATTTAAGCTCGTGTTTAAGTTCGTCGAAATTATTTAATTTTCGTAAACACACTGACAATTGACATTGGAAGTGTGACGTGTGTCTAAAAGAAATACAATGTCATATCAATTATTACATGTCAATGGTCAATTTAACTATGTCTTGTGTTGTACCAGGCCAACAAATTTGGCTTTCAGTATCAGAAAAATTTATAATACTAACGATTTAATAAATGTCAATATCAAGATCTTCCTCATCCTCTTCGGCGTAATCACATAAAATAAGAAAAATTAAACAAATATTAACTAATGTATCTAACCTGTTCGGCCTGGAGTTACCACGGGTTGCTTCTCAAAAAATATACATACAATAAGAAAAATTAAACAAATTTCAACTAATTTACCTAACCTGTACGGCCTGGAGTCATCGCGAGTTGCTTCGCAATAAAATATACATAAAATAAGAAAAACTAAACAAATTTTAACTAATTTTCCCAACCTGTACGGCCTGGAGTCATCGCTAGTTGCTTCGCAATAAATATATACATAAAATAAGAAAAATTAAACAAATTTTTACGTATTTACCTAACCTGTGCGGCCTGGAGTCATCGCGAGTTGCTTCGCAATAAATATATACATAAAATAAAAATTAAACAAATATTAACTAATTTACCTAACCTGTGCGGCCTGGAGTCACCACGAGTTACTTCGCAAAAAAATATACATAAAATAAGAAAAATTAAACAAATTTTAAATAATTTACCTAACCTGTGCGGCTTGGAGTCACCACGGGTTGCTTCTCAAAAAATATACATAAAATAAGAAAAATTAAACAAATTTCAACTAATTTACCTAACCTGTACGGCCTGGAGTCATCGCGAGTTGCTTCGCAATAAATATATACATAAAATAAGAAAAATTAAAGAAATATTAACTAATTTACCTAACCTTAAAAGAAGTATTTTCGAATTAAGATTTTTCGAAAAATAGTGTTTTCGAATTAGACTTTTTCGAAGAAACGTATTTTCGAACTAAGAGTTTTTGAACAAAATTCCGCCAACCCTCACTAGCATCTGGCTGGTAAACCTAGATCCCAACTTTTAACGAACGTGTCTTTGTCGCGGGCATCTAATAATAAGAAGACGAAGCAACGACTTCTTGTAGGGTGCCGGCTTCGCCGCCACCAGAAAATTTTAACCTGTATCTGGCTCCAACGTCATGGACACAGATCAAATTAAAAAAAAAAAGTATATTTACAAACAGTAGATAAGTTCCGATATGCCGTAATTAACGCACATCATGAAATGAAATAAAAAGACGGCTGTCCAAGTTCAACTGCCCGCCAGACACTATGTAATTTTTTGGCTACGCTGTATAGCCTGGAGCCATTTTCAAACAGCCAACTTTCATTAACCAAACTATTTCCTGCCGTATACGTTTTCTTACTCGATTTAGCAACACCGCATTACTAGAAACGTCAATTGTCATTGAAAATAATTTACTGTATTTGTTTTTCTAACAAACTTAAAAATGAAAAATAAGAAAATTTAATCGTTTAAAAAAATTGGTATGGTTTATTGCTCTATGAATTGTCTAATATTAATATTTAGCCGTTTCTACAACAAGAAATGGTGTATTTCACTTGTTTTTTTATGGTGGCCGACAACAAAGTTTAAGGATTTTAAGCTAAAATTTTTTTTTTGTGTTGGTGGACCCAAAATTGTTATGTATAGTGTGTTTCAAAGTGTCTAGAATCTTTCTGTAAAATTTCAATAAGAACATCCGCCGTTCGAGTGACGACGTATATTACCCATGCTTTATGTGTAAAAGACCTGTTGAAAAAGCTTCTTCAAGATTACATAAGTAAGTACAAATGCAACCTAATTTTCAGTGGCGGTGCATTAGGCAATCACTTTTAATTTGTAGGTTTCCCTTTCTTGATATGGAAAAAATAAATAAATGGTTCCAAAATTTAGGAATTCAACAAGTGACCACCCGAATAACTTTTTATGATAATGAAGATTTTTATTACAGACCTCGGCGGAGGAAAATATTAAATGTAATTTCAGTTATTTTCGAGGAGAGAAGTATAATAATCAATCCCTTCACTACTTCCTCACCATATTAATCTGTTACTAAAATACTAAAACAGCAAGTGAAGCAAATATACTTAAGTTTCTATTAAACAGATTGTTTTTTACACTAATAGTTCCTACCGAAGTAAATTGTGAATTTTTTATTTTATGTGCGTAGAAAGACAGAATCCTATCAATTTTTTTACCTTCTGAACCCTCAAGAAGTTATATTTCACAACCAACAAGATCACCAAGAACTAAAAGGTAGTCGAAATTTCAATTTTTTTATGTTTAAGGAAATAGGCAATGCCACTTTTTTGTTGGCTATTTTTTAATATTGTAATTTAATCATCTAATTTTGTGTATTGTTTACATTTTCATATTATGTACTTAAAATTTTAGGATTAAACAAAATAAACCTCAAAGATCAGAGATATGCTGATGATATGGAGTATCCCAAAAGAGCAAAGAAAGGTTTTAAAATTGTTAAGAAAAGTATTCAGAGCCAAAAACAAAATAGTTTTCTTGCCCAAAATATAAAGATATAGGTTTAAATATTTGGATATTGTGATTTTTATTCTATAAATAGAACGTAATTTGCCTCTGAATTACTAATGATAATGAACTATATTATGTGGTAACAAATTAAACAAGAATATTACATTATTCATGTTTTTTTTTACTAAAAAACCTCCCAAGAAATATTGAATGTTTATTATTGGAGTTTATATCGCTAGAACAAACTGAAATCATGTGGATTTCGATTATTTAGAGTTATCCAGATCATTATGATAAATAAATGTATTTCTGGTGCTATAGTCTGGTATAAAAACATTCATTTATTTGAGCACGGTTGCATTATACAGAGTGGCCCAAAAGTCTGGAAACGGCCAATTATCTCGTAAATTGCTAGTCTTAATTGTACAAAATTTGGGGTACACCTATTTTGGGATACGATGATTCCAGATTTGATATTTGCCATGTTGCCAGATTTGCCGTTTCTCTTAAATTATTAGTCACTTTGGTTTTTTAAATTCATCACCCTGTATATTCAGTCATTATTGGAATCTCATATTCAGTACGAGTTCAACCATATGTAACACTTATGATTTTATGTAGTCTGGAAGGTCTTAAATAAATAAAATAAATCTGGCAACGCCTAATTGTCTCAATACATTTTTTAATACAAACTATTTTCAACTACATTTAAACGTAACAATTGAAAGATTATAACATTTTTAACATAATGGTTACTTTATCAAGTGTTCAAAATGTGCTCCATTTGTGAGTTGACAGTACCCTAATCGATGGTAGAATGCGTCTATCACATTTCTCCATGATTATTTTATTTATTTAAGACCTTCTAGACTACATAAAATCATAAGTGTTACATATGGTTGAACTCGTATTGAATAGGAGATTCCAATAATGACTGAATATACAGGGTGATGAATTTAAAAAACCAAAGTGACTAATAATTTAAGAGACATCCTTAAATGTCTTTTTCCGTTTGATGTGAGATTCAATATTCTACATTTTTTGTTGGTGAAATAGGATATTTTAAGATGTCGCAGTTTTCTCTAATTATCTAAAATGTATAGAATAATACAAAGACAGTTTTAACAAAAAAGAGATATACCTTTAATGAAACAAACAATCAATCAATTTAATACTAGGATAACAAAGCAGAAATCCAGAAAACTTCTGAAGGGACATCTTACAAAATAATTATTAAAAAAAAGTCGGTACCTAATAACATTTACGGTAGGTTTTTATAATATATATTATACAAATCAAATCGAACTTCACAAAATAACATTATTAACAATTTAAGTAATAAAAATGCTGACATTAAAATTTGATTTTCTCGAAATAACTTTTTTAAATTGTCCCAGTACCTACCTAATATTGTTCTAGCACAATGATATATGAATGTGCATTATATTTAAGGAATAAAATAATATATTTTTTTCAGGTTTCTGTCAACAACGATTCCAAGAACTTTGAAAATATTAAAACGGCCTTCTCACAAATATAATTCTCAATTAAGAGCTTTTGATCTAACGTGAAATTTTTTTTCTCCAAAAGGTTACAGCTATGTAACAAGACTTACCTCTTACCAGACCCGAAATATCAAAATGTTACCAACCAATTGATGGTTTTCCTGGTTTCCATAGTGAAATTATCCTCGAAACTCCTAAAAGAAAAGTGGCAGAGGCAACAGAAGAAGACAAACAAGTCTTTTGCAAAACAAAAACAAGATATTTGTTTAAGAATCTAATTATTCTTTGAAGTTTTACCATTAATCATTTTTGGTAACTCTTTAAGATTATGAAGTTCTATATGTATTTTTCTCTTTGATAACCTGTTTGAATTTTTGTTAGGACCAAAAATAAATTATAATTTTCACTTCAACTACAAAAACCCTCATAATATTAAAAAGCGAGACAACGTCAGATTAGTTATGTTCAGGGACCATCAACTCGTTAAAAATTTACCTACTTAAAATGTGTTATCATTTTATCTCTGTTTATTGTATTTTCAAATTGATTTTGATATTAATCTTATCTATTTCTATTTTTTTTTATATATTCACATAAATATTGTGACGATAGTTTCATTTATTTATAATTTATTAATTTATATAATACTTAGGCACTAACTCACAATTCTAATTCATTTATTACAATTTATCTTTTTAGTCCAACACTTAAACCCAATCTGCCCATCCGTCGACGATCTCGCGCTATTTATTCGAAGCCAACTCTGTACGAGAATACTCTGGGCTTTCCACAATAATCGAGAACTGCCTCTCTATGACTCATACGCCGCAATCCGGTGGTTTCGAGAAGCGATGCGTTTGTCTCTATACGTCAGCGATATACCTAGAAGATTCCGGTTTTTCGACCATGAGTCAGGTGGCAGGCTTCAAGGTCGCTTGCTAGACAGGGTTGGCTCCGCGTCACAGTATATATTGAAACAAACATTTATTAGCTCATTACATATAATGAATTCACGTTGTTTTATTATATGCGTACATGAATGATTACTTTTATTTCCTTTTGAAAATGAATTTCGAAGATAAAGACGAAAATGACGATATTTATTGGAGATTTCATCTACGCTCTCCTTTTTCTAGCCTATCTACACCTGAGCCAGCAAGCTTTATCTTCCTTCCATCCTTACATTCTCAAGATTTACATAGGAAACGCCGAGTCTTCTTTCACATCCAGATCTTCTTTGACGGGGACTATACCGCTACTTTACATTATCAGCCTTATTTGTTATCCCGAGCAATTTAAATGCATTCGTAATTGCTCATTCTCACCTCTACTCTCGTAGATTTTTTACCCATTTTTCTTCTTTTTAGTAAGTTGGCGCTTGTCATCTATTTTTCCTTTTCCACATCTTTAATTCTACAATACTGCAACGCTACAATATCAATCCATTTTAGTGATTTATATATACTGTCGAACTATTTAATTTTAATCATAAGGGACCAACCTATTCTTATATTGTTCCTATTATAATTATTAAGGATTATTGTATTACAGGTCTGAAGATGATCCTGTGAGGCTGAAACCAGTCGCTCCTGTATTTATTTAATAAAATTGATGTATTAATTAATTATAAGGTTTTATTCTTTAATTGAAAAAATTAGACCTTCACAGTGATTTTGTTTTATATCCTGCATCAGACATATTCAGGGTGTTTCCGAACTTGGCCTCCAAATTTGTAGGGGTGGTAGTTCGCATAATTTGAGTGCGATTGGCAGATTTCATTTTTCTAAAAAAAATTATAATAAATAGAGCCATTATAAAAAAAATCAAAGAGCAGGCCCTACCCTGAGCGCGTAGCGCAATAGTCGCCTGATCGGTTACTCATCGGGATTTACAACTCAAAAACAGATGCGATTTGCAATTTTGACGATTCTAAGCAAACTTACGGATTACTCGATCGTAGCGCGCGCGAGTCGAGGTGCCCCCATCGCTGTGCAGGACCGTACCTGTTTAAATTTATTTTTAATTATTTTTATTTTAAATATTTTAAAAAATGAAATCTGCGAATCGGTCTCAAAGTATGCGAACTACCACCCCTACAAATTTGGACGCCAAGTTCGGAAACACCCTGTATAAGACGGTATACATTTTAAGAATAGTAAAATTGTAAAGTTTTCTTTACGAATAAAAAGTTTGGACAATGTGTGTTCTTAACAGAGAAATGATACGCCACTGAACCAGGAAGTTTGTTTACCTTCCCCCTTGTGCCCGCTCCCTCTGTAGATGTTGGGAACACAACAATCACCTAAAAACTCGTTTCACGCTCCCTCTAGTAGTAATTTCTCGGAGGTAGAAGTGGTTTGTTAGAAAATAAATCAGTCCAATACGATATGTCGTGTGCATTACCAATTTATAACACATGACACGCACAATTTGCAGCACGTCAAATTGTACGTCGTGCGAATTTAGAGTTAGCTGGTTACACTGCGTTAATAGGTTGCTCCTTAAGTGAATCGATTTTTATGGCTCGACCACCTCCCTATATTCCGTCGATTTGAATGACAACCTATTGTTTAATTTTTTTTTTAGCTACCTTAAATACACATTAGAAAGTTACGTCAAACAGGACTACAGTCTCATATACTTCCATCACGGTCTGACAAGCAAAAACAAACCCTCCCTAGGTTGGTTAGTTCAGGCTTACAAAGCCTTCGACCGAAACTACAAGAAAAACCTCAAAGCCCTTTATCTAGTCCATCCAACGAGCTTTTTAAAATTCGTTTCGCAATTATTCAGACCCCTCATCAGTGCCAAGTTCGGAAAGAAGTTGAATTACATACATAGGCTGAAGGAGCTCAACGAATTTGTTCCTATAGAAAAATTGGACATTCCTAATGAAGTGATAGAGTGAGTATTTTACTTGATTAAATAATATTACATATGCGCCGTTCAGTTTCTTTTTAAATCCAAGGTGGCTATGCAAATTTGACACATTTTGCTGTGTATAATATTAATATCATTTTAATATGAATATCATATTTTAATATTCATTAATATAATTTTAATATATTTTTTTAATAAATAAGTTCTATTGTAGTAAAAGCAGTTTCTGTTTCTATAATTGGGTGGGGGGGGGGGGGGGGGTTATTTCCACATATTTATTTCAAAAATGGGGAGTCGATGGAAAAAAGTTTGAAACCACTGGGTTATGCAATATTATTGCATAAAATATAGAATTTAATATATAAAATAATAAGTATCGATGCTATACTTAAAAATTTATAAATCTACCCATACATTATTATTTGACCGTTTTCTCTTCCTTTGAAAATTCTCTTCTCTCTGCTGAATAATCGTCCACTTTCTTGCAGAATTTCACAGTTCGAGAAACCTTTCTTTTATTAGAGTTACAACACTCTGGTTTAATATAATTTTAATAGTAATTAATATAATTTTAGTATTATTAATTAATATCATTTTAATATTACTATTTTTTGAGGTTATGTGCTGTCCCATGTAATTTTTATCATTTATAGCAGCGTTATCAAGTTATCTTGTATAAAAAATTCTCGGAACTAGATAAATTTATAAACAGTCATTACTTTGGTCAGTGGCGGATCTACGAGTTGTGGGGCGGGCCCTTCCCTTAATCATGTTTAGATCCCCCTCTATTTTACATATTTCTTTCTCGACCATTTTTCTATATTCATACTTACTACCAGAGCTGTTTAAGATCATTTTAAAAACGATTTAAATTAAAGATCATAAATCATTTGCATTTGAAAAAATGATTTAAATCAAAGATCGATTTTTTAAAAAGAAAGATTTAAATCAAAAATCTTTTTTATATTTAAATCTTTTCGAAATATCTAAATCCTTTTAAACGAAATAAATATTTTCAAAAGATTAAAATCTTTTTATAGATTTGGGTGACTCTTTAAAAAATGCTTTCGGTAGGCCAAAGATAATGAATACTTAAGTAATGTGATTTTCTCATAAATAAAACGCAAAACTCGATCAACTTTTCTCGTATTCATTTTTTATCGTTATTAGCCCAATGCAATTCTTACGGATATATTAATTTTAAATAATCAAGATAATATTTTTAAGGATTTATGCAGCATTGATATCTATAGTTATGAAAATTGTTATTTAAAAATGTCATGTCAATTGGTAAATAGGAATTTTTCAACACTTTAAAAGATACTTTTGGTATGCCTATGATGCCACAAAACAATGGAGACCTAGTTTTTAAGAAAAGTGATTTTTTTTCTATAAACGTCTATTTTTATGACGTTATGACCATACGAGATACGACGTCATCACCAGTTTATATAAATGATGACGCCTTTTTTTGATAATACCAATTAAAAGAGTACATTTTTTCGCGTGTGGACGTCAGATTTGTTATATGTTACAAAACAATATTTTATAGAAAAAATTCACATATTACGTAATTTGGCGTCCATATACGAAAAAAGAAATCTTTTGGTATTATCAAAATAGGATGTTGACATTAAAAAACTGGTGATGACGTAATGTATTAAATAGTCACGAGGTCATCAAAAATAGACGCATATAAATAATATATACATATAAATGATGCGCTTTTAAAAATCGTCACTGTTTGAGAGATGACGTCATCGCCAGTTCTCTAAATGACACTTTTTTCACAGTACCCATTAAAAGATCACATTTTTTTGTATAGGGATACAAAATTTATGACAATACTTTTGAGATAAATTTTTTTGTCACTATTACGAATGCTAAATAACATTTTATTTATTGGGGATTTTTAGATATTACTTGAACTGCACCACTTCGCTAATGTCACACAAAATACGAGCGACTGTCTACGTTCGGAAAACAAATACTCATTTGGCTAATATCGCAACAGGTATTGAATTATATCCAAAAGAAAGCCAGCAGAGATAGAAATTTAATTTCAACTCTCTACCTTTGATTTTGCTTTCTAAGGAGAAAGCAATTCTTGTACTGGTTTCGTCCTTATTAGGAATCATCAGCAAGACCTAGATAGGTTCGCAATTCCAGTCTCTAATAGAATTAACATAGGTATCAAATTCACTTAGTGATAGACGATATCGTGATTTTTCAATCACGTTGTGAATCATTACTGTTACTTTTTGATATCAGTGATTGAAAAGCGTGACGTGATCACGACCTCTAAATTTCGCGCGTTCGGTAACATGTCGCGTTGTCAAGATAGATAGATACCAAATAATGAAAAATATATGAAAGAAAAAGAACCACAATGATATCCTTCCGTGATTTAGTATAGCCAAACGAAGGACAATAAGGCACGATGTCGTATGCCACGCGTGTTATTACAATTGAGATTTGCGAAAATCGACCTTATTAGTATACGTTTGTCAATAAGTCACGGAGTCGCCTGCTACCTATCATATTTTAAATGATTTGAAGCGAAAATCGACTTAATGACGCGACTGAAGGTAATACCGGTATTGCAAAAGCCTAAAAGGTTTGAGTACGAAATAAGAAACCAATACTGTGTGTGAGCGTGATCACTTCACGACTTTTTTCACAAGTTGGTAACGGGAACGACTTGATATTTGTTGGTATCAGTGATTAAATCACAGTTCGTGAAATATCGCTCGTCACTAAATTCACTAGTATGCAATAACGTGTGTTATGAAGGGAGTAAGTCTGTTCATAGTAAGCAAAATCAAAGGTTCTTGTAGAACTCAGTTATAAAACTAGTTTTCTAACTGGGTACTACAAGCGACCTTTGATTTTGCTTACTAGGAATAGATGACGTTGCCATTTTCATTTCTTGAATACTCTGTTTGATACTCTAATTGAAAACTTATCTATGTCTGGCTGATGAGTCCTAATAAGGACAAAACTGGTCCAAGCATGATATTCTCCTTAGTAAGCTAAACCAAAGGTACAGTGTTGAAATTAAATCTCTATCTCTGCTGGCTTTCCTTTGGTTATAATTTAATACATGTTGCGGTATTAGCTGAAGGAGTAGTTATTCGTTTTTGGTGTGACATATGGCTTTGTATTTATTTATTTATTTTATTTTATGTCTTGATCACATTTGAGTTGAAATTATCTTCCATTTTTTCTTCTTTGTTAACATTCTTATTAAAATTGTTGGTCAACCTTTATAACAGTTATAACCATTACCACCACCCCTACAAAAAAATCTGATACATGACTTTCCTTATTTTTTTTTTTTTTTTTTTTTTTTTTTCGTTTTAGGGCATATGTGTATATCCCTAATATGTCAGTCTCAGTTTGTGTTTGTCTTCTTGTTTATGTGTTTAGGCTTTGTTACTGTTTCCCAGCGCCACGTCAGGTACAGCACTGTGAATTAGAACCCAACAGTGAATGGTCGAGTGGGGAATCCTACCTATACATTAGAATTAATTTTTATTTTTTTTTTATTATATAAAAATTGCTGCCATAGGTGGGATTCGATTATGAGCCCTTCCAATCTCAAAGTTATGACTCTAACCACTGAGCCAACCCACCCCCTTTCCTTTCTAGTTTTAATAGGCTTTTTCCGGTTAGCTTCCTATTGTACCTATATTGTATTATACCTGTAAATGTTTAGAGGATGAACTAAATATATAAATTTTCCACACATCTTACTCAAAACCTTTTTCTCGATTATGGTGAGCGATGTGTGACTCTCATAGCCACCCTGAATTTAAAACGAAACTGAATGGCATTTAGTTGCATTTTTGACTTTGTTTTTTTAGACACGACAAAAAACTTGGCGGCGAAATTCCTTTACATCCGACAACCGATTCTCCGTTTGAACCAGCTTCTCCCACCCAGCAATTTGGGGTTACGTTGCAGTATATTAGAGACCAGTACAATGTGATTATTCCTCCAGTAGTTAAACAATGTATAGACTACTTGGACCAACCTGACGGTAAATATAATTATTATAGACGTAGAAGTACCGCAAGGACCAGTCTTGGGGCTCGTTATGCGTGTTCATAACTATTATTGATATTTTTTTGTAGCCCTCGAAACTGAAGGCATTTTCCGAAGGTCGGCGAACGCCGTAAGAGTGAGAGCGTTGAAAGAAGTCTCCAATGCCGGTCAAAAGTTGACGTTCGAAGATCCTCACGAAGCTGCGGTGCTGTTGAAAAAGTTTTTGAGGGAATTGAAGGAACCGCTTTTGACTTATGAGCTGTATGATGAAATTTTACAGTTTCAAAGTAAGAAAGCAAAGATTTGAATGTTACTGTTATATTTTTAATTTTATTGTTTTTTTTTTTAAGGCTGGAATAATGATGAAAGACTGAGATTGGTGTCGATTCTTGTAATGGAGAAGCTTCCAGAAGATAATTATAAGGTGTTAAAGTATATCATTAGATTTTTATCCAGGGTAATGGAAAGGTCTGACCTTAATAAAATGAATGCACAAAATTTAGCCGTAGTGTTTGGACCAAACTTGGTATGGTCCGACATTGTATCGATGTCGTTAGCTGCCATAGGACCCATAAATACCTTCACGCAATTCTTGCTCGTGCATCAGAACGAGATATTTATGATTTAAGGTTTTCTTCATCAGTGTACTGTGTACTGTGATTTTGTTGCATTTTTTTTATATTTATGAACAAATTTTAATATACAATTTATATGTAACTATTAACGAACCTATTTATTATTTTTGATAGTATCAATATTGTGATTAAAACTCCAAATAAATGAAATTTATGTTACTAAAATTAGAAAAATATTGTTTTTTTTTCCTTTATCTTCTTACACAATTTCTTGTACCAGACACAGAAAAAGCCCTTATGACAATATTGTTTCTCCACGACCATTACTGAATATAATTCTTCCGAAATCAATTTTAAGGTTTGTTCCAACACAATAGCAAATCGGTTTACGTACTGTCGGGATTCTGCGTAGTCTAGATTTGGTGTTCCAACAAACCTCGGACTCAAAACTGTACAAAAACTTAGTGTTCCAACATACTTAAACCTAATCACAAACCAGTTTCTGTACTGTCAAATCAGTTCTTGCTTCTGAATAGGAACGAATTGTCAAGACATGCGCAAAACGAAAGTGAACTCGTAAATAAATCACGACCAACTCTGGATTATATTCGTTTTGATAGCATCGATCGTAATTTGGTTTTTATTTATTATTATTTATAGTATAGTTTTTTATAAGTAATGAGTGTAGAAAGTGAAAAGGACTATTATTCTGACTTAGACACAGTAAAAAATAAAATAAGTTAATGTGCTAACCAATCGAATAATCACAATTTATAAATCTTTTAATGAGTGTTATAATTTTTTTATTTACCAAATTCAAAATTTAACATATGTTATTTTTTTTTTACTTTTACGTTATTGACAGTGCGTCTGACAACAGATACATGTGTTCCAACACAACCAAGTTCCGAATTCAGCCCCAATCATCGACAGGTCGTGGACTGGTCGTCGACTATAAGTCGTCGACAATAAGTTGTGAACTGGTTTGTGTATGGTTCCAAGATTGTTGTTGGAACAAACCTTTAATAACAGAATGTGAATATTCTCAATCTTGAGATTGGAAAAATATTCTAAATCACTTGCATCTTATGTATTTTGCAATATATTCATTCTATAACAAGTGTAGAGTCACATTCTAAGACCGGCTGGTAAGTTACCAAGGATACAAAGATGTAAAGCTGGTGCCTGTTTTTGACGTTTCTGTGACATATTAGAACAGCAACCATTCAAGTGAATAAAGTATGGAATTTGATAATATCCCATCTAAAATAATAATACTCTTCCTAATTCACCCCTTTACTAGTGATCCCTGATGCGGACTGTGCGACTTGTGTAAGGAAAGGGACGGCTATTATTATTTTCCGGGGCAACTTAGATGATTTGAGTTACAGGTGAGGAAAACCCCACCCACCATCATCGAAAACTGTAATGCATGGCGATTTTTATAATCTGCATGTCATATTAACAGAAATTAAATTTCTGCTAATACGGTATTCATCAAATTCTATAGAGAACCATGCAATTAAATTCACAGAGTTTTCTGCAGGATTCGAAGCCGGTCTCTTTACTACAAAATTGGCTCGCAAATAAATGCGGCGCCGTAGACACCTACGCAACCGTAGTCGATTACAAATTATGCAAATAAAATAAGTGAAAATGTATTACTGCAAAAGTCAAATAAAAAATATACACCGTTTACGAATTGGTAACGGTTAAAGAAACTCCATTTTTATTTTAAACCACAACTCTTGTATCCTCTTAGGGTCATTTTGTGAAGTTAAAAATAACTTCCAACCATTTTTCTTACCTTTTTTTCTCGGTGTACGATCGCTCACAGTAAAACTGCGCATGAGTCTGGCGGTTATATACGGATTTGGACCCTTGTTGGAACAAACCTATGGAGAACCCATCACCATTCGGTTTTACCAACTAAATAATTTACGCCCTTCCTGTTTTTGGCTTTATTCAATCTTGTGAGTAGAGCGTGATGGAGAATTTGAAATCTTCAATGTTGAGCTGAATTTATTTCAAGCAGAGGCGTCCCTGGCGTTCAATATATTTTTCGTTACTCCCGACCTATTCACTGACGTTACTAGCTGGCTACAAACAAGGACGGACTAAAACTTGTGTATGCGCTTAATTCAGGTGTTCGGGCGGCAGATCGACCGACGTCGAGATACCGAATTTTTATATGCAACAGGGCTATAAAAATGTTCGCTTTCGACCCATTCTAGATACCACTTAGGCAATAGAACATACGTTGGTGTATGTTTGGTAGTATCTTAATAATACTAGAAGAGAGCTTTTTATTTATTATATCGCTACAGAGAACGTCTTAAGAGTAACTTATATTTGTAAATTGGAAAATATTCATTTAAGCTTTTATCAGCAGTTTCGGTTTTAAAAGACATCATTCTTTGAATGTACTATCAGATTTAGTTTCTCTTTTCTTTATTCTATTAAAAAATATGTTATAATGTACCATATATTATTGGGGGTATCTATTTTTTTTATATATTAAATGCCTTTCAAAAGTAGCCCCACCGTAGACTAATCCTCGAGTTGCCACTTATAAAAGATGATTTTTATTGGTTGAGGTATTATATAGTGTTAAATATGCAACACTATTAATCCTGAAATTTTGACCATGTTAAGTTCATCTTTCATGGTGTTGCCAACTTAAGCTGACTACTATTTCCCCCTAGCCTCATTGACCCCTTAATCAATTTACGGGGTGGGGTCTATGTCGGAACCCCTTAGATATACCAATACTTCCCTTCGGCAGCCATTTTGTGTGAAATTCCTAATAGTCTGAATTTAACACAGTCGGATTCACCGGCGGATATAAGGAGCCATAATAACCTTAGTAACCCGTCCGTTCTATGTGTAAATTCATTGAGATGCACCACTAGCTCTATAGTCCGAATTTAACACATAATTTGATTCACCGGCAGATCCAAGGAGTTTAATAACCCTCTAGTAGTTGATGCTGTTGACAACCCTCGTTACGAACCCAATAATTTTACCACCTCCCACTTGAAAAGGTTCTGGATCCGTCCCTGGTCTCATTTAGATTGAACGAAGATACTTGGAAAAGAGGTGACTTCTTCTAATTGCTGTTTCTTTGATGATGCACCTCTTTTTGCGGGTTTAATGGTTGATTTCTGAATTCTAGAAGTTCTCTGATGATTTTTATAGGTTTAATAAATGTAAAGTTCTCAAAATGCTTTATTTAATTGTTTCTCATAAATGGTTCTATAATTTACTTAGATTATTTTTGAATTTATCTTTTTCTCAGATATTTTCTCCAATTTCTCAGCTCATGACATAGTGCGCTGTTTGAAATACTACTACTATTGAACGAATATTTAAAAAAATATTTATTGAGGTGATTAGAGCACACCTTTTAATTTTCGAACAAGCATATCTCAAAAAGTAATTTTTTTAAAAATTTAAAATTTTGGCAAAATAAATTAAAAAATATCTAGAATGTATGTGCATGTATTTTAAAGTTTTAATTCCTTCCAGTTTCCAAGAAAACGAATCAAAGGTCTTTAAATTTTGAAATATGATAATTTAAATAAATGCATTCCTCAACAGCACTATTCTTAATATAATCCCCAAATTTAAGCTCTTAATCTCTTGTTAATGATTTTTTAAAATTCGCCAAAATTAGTGGCTAAAGCGCCTCGTTAAGTGCTGCTTTCTGGTGTAACGCGTCTGTAACTATCGTATCATACACTCTTAGTCATCATTGGTTTCTTGCAACGATTTACACCAGTTTAAACCAGAAGAAAGCCCTTAATGAGGCGTTTTAGCCACTAATTTTGGCGAATTTTAAAAAATCCTTAACAAGACATTAAGAGCTTAAATTTGAAGATTATATTAAGAGTAGTGCTGTTGAGGAATGCATTTATTTTCATTATGATATTTCAAAATTTAAAGCTATTCGATTTTTTTTTCTTGGAAACTGGAATGAAGTAAAACTTTAAAATATATATGCATATTCTAGATATAGCCTAATTTATTTTCCCAAAATTTTAATTTAAAAAAAATTACTTTTTGAGATATGCTTGTCCGAAAATTATAAGGGGTGCTGTAATCACCTTAAAGTTTTCGTTGAAACAATTATGACGAAGCTCGACAAGCATTGGACATTAGACCATTAAATGTTTCGCAAGGCGATATCGGATGATGTAACCTCACAGATCTAGTGTTAGGAGATCTTAGACTAGGTACCTAGTTTTATAGTAAAAAGGAACATAAATAATAATGAAAACTGGTAAGCGTGTTTAATTTATTAAAAGTGAAAAATGTATATTTATTTCACATTACATATAAAATGTTTGTATCAAGTCAAAATTAACCATGAAAAGATACGACTGAAATAAAAAAAATCTCCTAAAATTATTGTAACCTCTTACAAAACAACTTATCGTATATTCTTTATGATTGGAAACAAAATTATTAATAGCATTTAAGCATAGGTGTGAATGGATGTTACTAATCTTCTATTGATTTCGAACTCCCCTTAAATCAATACTATCTGATGAACTTAAAACAAACAATTAACTTTTATATATGTTTCGATATATATTTATGATTTTGGGAAAAAGGTAGTACTAAATTTTATAAAAGTTATGTAGATTACATTTGTGAATAACATAAATCAGATAAATAAAACTAATATGTGACATAGTTCTTAAAGGAACTTAAATTAGTGTAAGATAAAGCTGTATCAGGTAATCTAAAAAAGGAACAAGAATGTCTCAAATAAGTTTACAGAACAATTAAACTTCCTGACTTTTTAAGTTATTGCATGTAGGCTTTATATAAAACAACTAGAACTAAAATAAATTATACACAGAATATTCATTAAACAACAACCCTTACAGCATAAAATATATTTAAACAAATTAATTTTTGAAAAATACCGTTGACTTTGAATGAATCTTTTGTGAGGGTGGAAATGTCATCTTTATTTCTGCTATATTGGTTACATTATCTAAAGATATATCCCTAAAATGGTCCAATTTTATTATGTACATCTAATTCAGATTGTTCTGATGAAAAATAAGTGCTCTTATATTAGATAAAAAAGTTTGAGGAGTATCCATCCTCCAATAACATTTAATTTACTTATATCTATTTGACACATCCAAATATTAAATTGTCAGTAATCTATTAGGCATTCCAAACAAATGAATTACCAGTGGGCAGGTTTGGTATAT